CAGTGTTCCCACAGCACCAACAGTGTTCCCACAGCACCAACAGTGTTCCCACAGCACCAACAGTGTTCCCACAGCACCAACAGTGTTCCCACAGCACCAACAGTGTTCCCACAGCACCAACAGTGTTCCCACAGCACCAACAGTGTTCCCACAGCACCAACAGTGTTCCCACAGCACCAACAGTGTTCCCACAGCACCAACAGTGTTCCCACAGCACCAACAGTGTTCCCACAGCACCAACAGTGTTCCCACAGTCCCAACAGTGTTCCCACAGCACCAACAGTGTTCCCACAGCACCAACAGTGTTCCCACAGTCCCAACAGTGTTATCACAGTCCCAACAGTGTTATCACAGTCCCAACAGTGTTCCCACAGTCCCAACAGTGTTCCCACAGCACCAACAGTGTTCCCACAGTCCCAACAGTGTTCCCACAGTCCCAACAGTGTTCCCACAGTCCCAACAGTGTTCCACAGCACCAACAGTGTTCCCACAGCACCAACAGTGTTCCCACAGCACCAACAGTGTTCCCACAGCACCAACAGTGTTCCCACAGTGTTCCCACCAACAGTGTTCCCACAGCACCAACAGTGTTCCCACAGTCCCAACAGTGTTCCCACAGTCCCAACAGTGTTCCCACAGCACCAACAGTGTTCCCACAGTCCCAACAGTGTTCCCACAGTCCCAACAGTGTTACCACAGTCCCAACAGTGTTCCCACAGTCCCAACAGTCCCAACAGTGTTCCCACAGTCCCAACAGTGTTCCCACAGTCCCAACAGTGTTCCCACAGTCCCAACAGTGTTCCCACAGTCCCAACAGTGTTCCCACAGCACCAACAGTGTTCCCACAGTCCCAACAGTGTTCCCACAGTCCCAACAGTGTTCCCACAGTCCCAACAGTGTTCCCACAGCCCACAGCAACAGTGTTCCCACAGCACCAACAGTGTTCCCACAGCACCAACAGTGTTCCCACAGTCCCAACAGTGTTCCCACAGTCCCAACAGTCCCAACAGTGTTCCCACAGCACCAACAGTGTTCCCACAGTCCCAACAGTGTTCCCACAGTCCCAACAGTGTTCCCACAGTCCCAACAGTGTTCCCACAGCACCAACAGTGTTCCCACGGCACCAACAGTGTTCCCACAGCACCAACAGTGTTCCCACAGTCCCAACAGTGTTCCCACAGTCCCAACAGTCCCAACAGTGTTCCCAAAGAACCAACAGTGTTCCCACAGCACCAACAGTGTTCCCACAGCACCAACAGTCCCAACAGTGTTCCCACAGTCCCAACAGTGTTCCCACAGTCCCAACAGTCCCAACAGTGTTCCCACAGTCCCAACAGTCCCAACAGTGTTCCCACAGTCCCAACAGTGTTCCCACAGTCCCAACAGTGTTCCCCAGTCAACAGTGTTCCCACAGTCCCAACAGTGTTCCCACAGTCCCAACAGTGTTCCCACAGTCCCAACAGTGTTCCCACAGTCCCACAGTCCCAACAGTGTTCCCACAGTCCCAACAGTGTTCCCACAGTCCCAACAGTGTTCCCACAGTCCCAACAGTGTTCCCACAGTCAACAGTCCCAACAGTGTTCCCACAGTCCCAACAGTGTTCCCACAGCACCAACAGTGTTCCCACAGTCCCAACAGTGTTCCCACAGCACCAACAGTGTTCCCACAGCACCAACAGTGTTCCCACAGCACCAACAGTGTTCCCACAGTCCCAACAGTGTTCCCACAGCACCAACAGTCCCAACAGTGTTCCCACAGTCCCAACAGTCCCAACGGTGTTCCCACAGTCCCAACAGTCCCAACAGTGTTCCCACAGTCCCAACAGTCCCAACAGTGTTCCCACAGTCCCAACAGTGTTCCCACAGTCCCAACAGTCCCAACAGTGTTCCCACAGTCCCAACAGTGTTCCCACAGCACCAACAGTGTTCCCACAGTCCCAACAGTGTTCCCACAGTCCCAACAGTGTTCCCACAGTCCCAACAGTCCCAACAGTGTTCCCACAGTCCCAACAGTGTTCCCACAGCACCAACAGTGTTCCCACAGTCCCAACAGTGTTCCCACAGTCCCAACAATCCCAACAGTGTTCCCACAGCACCAACAGTGTTCCCACAGTCCCAACAGTGTTCCCACAGTCCCAACAGTGTTCCCACAGCACCAACAGTGTTCCCACAGTCCCAACAGTGTTCCCACAGTCCCAACAGTGTTCCCACAGCACCAACAGTGTTCCCACAGCACCAACAGTGTTCCCACAGCACCAACAGTGTTCCCACAGCACCAACAGTGTTCCCACAGCACCAACAGTGTTCCCACAGCACCAACAGTGTTCCCACAGCACCAACAGTGTTCCCACAGCACCAACAGTGTTCCCACAGTCACCAACAGTGTTCCCACAGTCCCAACAGTGTTCCCACAGTCCCAACAGTGTTCCCACAGCACCAACAGTGTTCCCACAGCACCAACAGTGTTCCCACAGTCCCAACAGTGTTCCCACAGCACCAACAGTGTTCCCACAGTCCCAACAGTGTTCCCACAGTCCCAACAGTGTTCCCACAGTCCCAACAGTGTTCCCACAGTCCCAACCAACAGTGTTCCCACAGTCCCAACAGTGTTCCCACAGTCCCAACAGTGTTCCCACAGTCCCAACAGTGTTCCCACAGCACCAACAGTGTTCCCACAGTCCCAACAGTGTTCCCACAGTCCCAACAGTGTTCCCACAGCACCAACAGTGTTCCCACAGCACCAACAGTGTTCCCACAGCACCAACAGTGTTCCCACAGCACCAACAGTGTTCCCACAGCACCAACAGTGTTCCCACAGCACCAACAGTGTTCCCACAGTCCCAACAGTGTTCCCACAGTCCCAACAGTGTTCCCACAGTCCCAACAGTGTTACCACAGTCCCAACAGTGTTACCACAGTCCCAACAGTGTTCCCACAGTCCCAACAGTGTTACCACAGTCCCAACAGTGTTACCACAGCACCAACAGTGTTACCACAGTCCCAACAGTGTTCCCACAGTCCCAACAGTGTTACCACAGTCCCAACAGTGTTCCCACAGTCCCAACAGTGTTCCCACAGTCCCAACAGTGTTCCCACAGCACCAACAGTGTTCCCACAGTCCCAACAGTGTTCCCACAGTCCCAACAGTGTTCCCACAGCACCAACAGTGTTCCCACAGCACCAACAGTGTTCCCACAGTCCCAACAGTGTTCCCACAGTCCCAACAGTCCCAACAGTGTTACCACAGTCCCAACAGTGTTCCCACAGCACCAACAGTGTTCCCACAGCACCAACAGTGTTCCCACAGCACCAACAGTGTTCCCACAGTCCCAACAGTGTTCCCACAGTCCCAACAGTGTTACCACAGTCCCAACAGTGTTCCCACAGTCCCAACAGTGTTCCCACAGTCCCAACAGTGTTCCCACAGCACCAACAGTGTTCCCACAGTCCCAACAGTGTTCCCACAGTCCCAACAGTGTTCCCACAGTCCCAACAGTGTTCCCACAGTCCCAACAGTGTTCCCACAGTCCCAACAGTGTTCCCACAGTCCCAACAGTGTTCCCACAGTCCCAACAGTGTTCCCACAGCACCAACAGTGTTCCCACAGTCCCAACAGTGTTCCCACAGTCCCAACAGTGTTCCCACAGCACCAACAGTGTTCCCACAGTCCCAACAGTGTTCCCACAGTCCCAACAGTGTTCCCACAGCACCAACAGTGTTCCCACAGCACCAACAGTGTTCCCACAGCACCAACAGTGTTCCCACAGCACCAACAGTGTTCCCACAGTCCCAACAGTGTTCCCACAGTCCCAACAGTGATCCCACAGTCCCAACAGTGTTACCAACTGAGCGCCATGCTGGAGATTGAGCTCAGAATCAGTGTATGAATCAGTGTATTGAGAGCGAACACTGAATTTAAGCGAGCACTCAAGTGTAGTGAGGCGGTATTACTGGCACTGAAGTGTTGCTTGAGTGCTTGTAGTGTGTTGTGAGTGTTTCTTAAGACTGGCGATCAAACCAGCTTCAATGTACACGCTTCTATCATTCAACACTCTCACATGATTGGTCAATCGTCATTCAACAGTCTCACATGATTGGTCTATCGTCATTCAACACTCTCACATGATTGGTCTATCGTCATCCAACACTCTCACATGATTGGTCTATCGTCATTCAACGCACTCACATGATTGGTCAATCGTCATTCAACACTCTCACATGATTGGTCTATCGTCATCCAACACTCTCACATGATTGGTCAATCGTCATTCAACACTCTCACATGATTGGTCTATCGTCATTCAACACTCTCACATGATTGGTCTATCGTCATCCAACACTCTCACATGATTGGTTATCGTCATTCAACACTCTCACATGATTGGTCCACCACCATCCAACACACATGATTGGTCCACCACCATCCATCACACATGATTGGTTCACTACCATCCAACACACATGATTGGTCCACCACCATCCAACACACATGATTGGTCCACCACCATCCATCACACATGATTGGTCCACCACCATCCAACACACATGATTGGTCCACCACCATCCATCACACATGATTGGTCCACCACAATCCAACACACATGATTGGTCCACCACAATCCAACACACATGATTGGTCCACCATCATCCAACACACATGATTGGTCTACCACCATCCAACACACATGATTGGTCCACCACCATCCAACACACATGATTGGTCCACCACAATCCAACACACAATAGAACTGTTATCCTCAGAGCCAATCATCATCCAATCATCCAGAGTGGACCAATCATCTAAGCCTCGCTCTCCTGCCCAGCCAGGCTCTAAAAGCCTTGTTTCCCTCGCAGTTGTTAGCGCCAATGACCCTTGACCCCTTGACAGGTTAGAGGTCACAGGCGACCTGACCTCTCCTGCGGGAGGTGTTAGCCTCCCACTGCTGTAATGGCAGGAGGTGCCATTGTGGGGCGGTGCCATCACTGTTTCCGGGTTATGAAATGAGTTCCCTGCCCAGAACTCACTGTGCTCTCTGTGCTCAGTGTGCTTCGCTGTGCTCACTGTGCTCAGTGTGCTACGCTGTGCTCACTGTGCTACGCTGTGCTCTCTGTGCTCAGTGTGCTTCGCTGTGCTCACTGTGCTCACTGTGCTCAGTGTGCTACGCTGTGCTCACTGTGCTACGCTGTGCTCACTGTGCTACGCTGTGCTCACTGTGCTACTCTGTGCTCACTGTGCTCAGTGTGCTTCGCTGTGCTCACTGTGCTCACTGTGCTACGCTGTGCTCACTGTGCTACGCTGTGCTCACTGTGCTACGCTGTGCTCACTGTGCTACGCTGTGCTCACTGTGCTCAGTGTGCTACGCTGTGCTCACTGTGCTACGCTGTGCTCACTGTGCTACGCTGTGCTCACTGTGCTACGCTGTGCTCACTGTGCTCAGTGTGCTTCGCTGTGCTCACTGTGCTCACTGTGCTACGCTGTGCTCACTGTGCTACGCTGTGCTCACTGTGCTACGCTGTGCTCACTGTGCTCAGTGTGCTTCGCTGTGCTCACTGTGCTCACAGTGCTACGCTGTGCTACGCTGTGCTACGCTGTGCTACGCTGTGCTCACTGTGCTACGCTGTGCTCACTGTGCTACGCTGTGCTCACTGTGCTCAGTGTGCTCACTGTGCTACGCTGTGCTACGCTGTGCTCACTGTGCTACGCTGTGCTCACTGTGCTACGCTGTGCTCACTGTGCTACGCTGTGCTCACTGTGCTACGCTGTGCTCACTGTGCTACACTGTGCTACGCTGTGCTCACTGTGCTACGCTGTGCTCACTGTGCTACGCTGTGCTCACTGTGCTACGCTGTGCTCACTGTGCTACGCTGTGCTCACTGTGCTACGCTGTGCTCACTGTGCTACGCTGTGCTCACTGTGCTCACTGTGCTACGCTGTGCTACACTGTGCTACGCTGTGCTCACTGTGCTACGCTGTGCTACGCTGTGCTCACTGTGCTCACTGTGCTACGCTGTGCTACGCTGTGCTACACTGTGCTCACTGTGCTACGCTGTGCTCACTGTGCTACACTGTGCTCACTGTGCTACGCTGTGCTACGCTGTGCTACACTGTGCTACGCTGTGCTCACTGTGCTACGCTGTGCTCACTGTGCTCACTGTGCTACACTGTGCTACGCTGTGCTCACTGTGCTCACTGTGCTACGCTGTGCTACACTGTGCTACGCTGTGCTCACTGTGCAACGCTGTGCTCACTGTGCTCACTGTGCTACGCTGTGCTACGCTGTGCTACACTGTGCTACGCTGTGCTCACTGTGCTACACTGTGCTCACTGTGCTCACTGTGCTACGCTGTGCTCACTGTGCTACGCTGTGCTCACTGTGCTACACTGTGCTACGCTGTGCTCACTGTGCTCACTGTGCTACGCTGTGCTACGCTGTGCTCACTGTGCTACGCTGTGCTACGCTGTGCTCACTGTGCTACACTGTGCTACGCTGTGCTCACTGTGCTCACTGTGATCACTGTGCTCACTGTGCTACGCTGTGCTCACTGTGCTACGCTGTGCTCACTGTGCTACACTGTGCTCACTGTGCTACACTGTGCTCACTGTGCTACACTGTGCTCACTGTGCTACGCTGTGCTCACTGTGCTACGCTGTGCTCACTGTGCTACACTGTGCTCACTGTGCTACACTGTGCTCACTGTGCTACACTGTGCTACGCTGTGCTCACTGTGCTACGCTGTGCTCACTGTGCTACGCTGTGCTCACTGTGCTACGCTGTGCTCACTGTGCTCAGTGTGCTACGCTGTGCTCACTGTGCTACGCTGTGCTCACTGTGCTACGCTGTGCTCACTGTGCTACACTGTGCTACGCTGTGCTCACTGTGCTACACTGTGCTACGCTGTGCTCACTGTGCTACGCTGTGCTCACTGTGCTACGCTGTGCTCACTGTGCTACACTGTGCTACGCTGTGCTCACTGTGCTACGCTGTGCTCACTGTGCTACGCTGTGCTCACTGTGCTACACTGTGCTACGAGGTGCTCACTGTGCTCACTGTGATCACTGTGCTCACTGTGCTACACTGTGCTACGCTGTGCTCACTGTGCTCACTGTGATCACTGTGCTCACTGTGCTACACTGTGCTACGCTGTGCTCACTGTGCTCACTGTGATCACTGTGCTCACTGTGATCACTGTGCTCACTGTGCTACACTGTGCTACGCTGTGCTCACTGTGCTACGCTGTGCTCACTGTGCTACACTGTGCTACGCTGTGCTCACTGTGCTCACTGTGATCACTGTGCTACACTGTGCTACGCTGTGTTCACTGTGCTCACTGTGATCACTGTGCTACACTGTGCTACGCTGTGCTCACTGTGCTCACTGTGCTCACTGTGCTCACTGTGATCACTGTGCTCACTGTGATCACTGTGCTCACTGTGCTACACTGTGCTACGCTGTGCTCACTGTGCTACACTGTGCTACGCTGTGCTCACTGTGCTCACTGTGATCACTGTGCTCACTGTGCTACGCTGTGCTCACTGTGCTCACTGTGATCACTGTGCTACACTGTGCTACGCTGTGCTCACTGTGCTCACTGTGATCACTGTGCTCACTGTGATCACTGTGCTCACTGTGATCACTGTGCTCACTGTGCTACACTGTGCTACGCTGTGCTCACTGTGCTACGCTGTGCTCACTGTGCTCACTGTGCTCACTGTGATCACTGTGCTCACTGTGATCACTGTGCTCACTGTGCTACACTGTGCTCACTGTGCTACGCTGTGCTCACTGTGCTACACTGTGCTACGCTGTGCTCACTGTGATCACTGTGCTCACTGTGCTACGCTGTGCTCACTGTGCTCACTGTGATCACTGTGCTACACTGTGCTACGCTGTGCTCACTGTGATCACTGTGCTCACTGTGCTACGCTGTGCTCACTGTGCTACACTGTGCTACGCTGTGGCAAATTCTAACTTACTCTATCACACAGCTAAGAGAATGTAACCTAACATGACTTAACCTAATCCAACTTAATCTAACTTAACGTAACCCAATCTGAGATGGTCTAACCTGACCTAACTTGACCTAACATGGTCTAACCTGACCTAACTTGACCTAAGATGGCTTAACCTGACCTAACTTGACCTAAGATGGTCTAACCTGACCTAACTTGACCTAACATGGTCTAACCTGACCTAACTTGACCTAACATGGTCTAACCTGACCTAACTTGACCTAAGATGGCCTAACCTGACCTAACTTGACCTAAGATGGTCTAACCTGACCTAACTTGACCTAACATGGTCTAACCTGACCTAACTTGACCTAAGATGGCTTAACCTGACCTAACTTGACCTAAGATGGTCTAACCTGACCTAACTTGACCTAAGATGGTCTAACCTGACCTAACTTGACCTAACATGGTCTAACCTGACCTAACTTGACCTAAGATGGCTTAACCTGACCTAACTTGACCTAAGATGGTCTAACCTGACCTAACTTGACCTAACATGGTCTAACCTGACCTAACTTGACCTAACATGGTCTAACCTGACCTAACTTGACCTAAGATGGCCTAACCTGACCTAACTTGACCTAACATGGCCTAATTTGACCTAAATTGATTGTCAGCTAAATAACAACCTTTCGGCTGTTCAATTGTACACTGTATTATGCACAGTGTTGTATTATGCACAGTGTTGTATTATGCACAGTGTTGTATTATGCACAGTGTTGTATTATGCACAGTGTTGTATTATGCACAGTATTGTATTATGCTCAGTATTGTATTATGCACAGTGTTGTATTATGCACAGTGTTGTATTATGCACAGTGTTGTATTATGCACAGTGTTGTATTATGCACAGTGTTGTATTATGCACAGTGTTGTATTATGCTCAGTGTTGTATTATGCAGTGTTGTATTATGCACAGTGTTGTATTATGCACAGTATTGTATTATGCACAGTATTGTATTATGCTCAGTGTTGTATTATGTACAGTGTTGTATTATGCACAGTATTGTATTATGCACAGTATTGTATTATGTACAGTATTGTATTATGCACAGTGTTGTATTATGTACAGTATTGTATTATGCACAGTGTTGTATTATGTACAGTATTGTATTATGCACAGTATTGTATTATGCACAGTGTTGTATTATGTACAGTATTGTATTATGCACAGTATTGTATTATGTACAGTATTGTATTATGCACAGTGTTGTATTATGTACAGTATTGTATTATGCACAGTATTGTATTATGCACAGTGTTGTATTATGTACAGTTTTGTATTATGCACAGTGTTGTATTATGCACAGTATTGTATTATGCTCAGTGTTGTATTATGCACAGTGTTGTATTATGTACAGTATTGTATTATGCACAGTGTTGTATTATGCACAGTATTGTATTATGTACAGTATTGTATTATGCACAGTGTTGTATTATGTACAGTATTGTATTATGCACAGTATTGTATTATGCACAGTGTTGTATTATGCACAGTGTTGTATTATGTACAGTATTGTATTATGCTCAGTGTTGTATTATGTACAGTATTGTATTATGCACAGTATTGTATTATGCACAGTGTTGTATTATGCACAGTATTGTATTATGTACAGTATTGTATTATGCTCAGTGTTGTATTATGCACAGTGTTGTATTATGCTCAGTGTTGTATTATGCACAGTATTGTATTATGCACAGTATTGTATTATGTACAGTATTGTATTATGCACAGTATTGTATTATGCTCAGTGTTGTATTATGCTCAGTGTTGTATTATGCACAGTGTTGTATTATGCTCAGTGTTGTATTATGCACAGTGTTGTATTATGTACAGTGTTGTATTATGCACAGTGTTGTATTATGTACAGTATTGTATTATGCTCAGTGTTGTATTATGTACAGTATTGTATTATGCACAGTATTGTATTATGCACAGTGTTGTATTATGCACAGTATTGTATTATGTACAGTATTGTATTATGCTCAGTGTTGTATTATGCACAGTGTTGTATTATGCTCAGTGTTGTATTATGCACAGTATTGTATTATGCACAGTATTGTATTATGTACAGTATTGTATTATGCACAGTATTGTATTATGCTCAGTGTTGTATTATGCTCAGTGTTGTATTATGCACAGTGTTGTATTATGCTCAGTGTTGTATTATGCACAGTGTTGTATTATGCTCAGTGTTGTATTATGCACAGTATTGTATTATGCACAGTATTGTATTATGTACAGTATTGTATTATGCACAGTATTGTATTATGCTCAGTGTTGTATTATGCTCAGTGTTGTATTATGCACAGTGTTGTATTATGCTCAGTGTTGTATTATGCACAGTGTTGTATTATGCACAGTGTTGTATTATGCACAGTGTTGTATTATGTACAGTATTGTATTATGCACAGTATTGTATTATGCACAGTGTTGTATTATGTACAGTGTTGTATTATGCACAGTGTTGTATTATGTACAGTGTTGTATTATGCACAGTGTTGTATTATGCACAGTGTTGTATTATGCACAGTGTTGTATTATGTACAGTATTGTATTATGCTCAGTGTTGTATTATGCACAGTGTTGTATTATGTACAGTATTGTATTATGCTCAGTGTTGTATTATGCACAGTGTTGTATTATGCTCAGTATTGTATTATGCACAGTATTGTATTATGCACAGTATTGTATTATGTACAGTATTGTATTATGCACAGTGTTGTATTATGCACAGTATTGTATTATGTACAGTATTGTATTATGCACAGTGTTGTATTATGCTCAGTATTGTATTATGCACAGTATTGTATTATGCACAGTATTGTATTATGTACAGTGTTGTATTATGTACAGTGTTGTATTATGCACAGTGTTGTATTATGCACAGTGTTGTATTATGCACAGTGTTGTATTATGCACAGTATTGTATTATGTACAGTGTTGTATTATGCACAGTATTGTATTATGCACAGTATTGTATTATGCACAGTGTTGTATTATGCACAGTGTTGTATTATGCTCAGTGTTGTATTATGCACAGTGTTGTATTATGCACAGTGTTGTATTATGCACAGTATTGTATTATGCACAGTGTTGTATTATGTACAGTATTGTATTATGCACAGTATTGTATTATGCACAGTGTTGTATTATGCACAGTGTTGTATTATGCACAGTGTTGTATTATGCTCAGTGTTGTATTATGCACAGTGTTGTATTATGCACAGTGTTGTATTATGCACAGTGTTGTATTATGTACAGTATTGTATTATGCACAGTATTGTATTATGCACAGTGTTGTATTATGTACAGTGTTGTATTATGCACAGTGTTGTATTATGTACAGTGTTGTATTATGCACAGTGTTGTATTATGTACAGTGTTGTATTATGCACAGTGTTGTATTATGCACAGTATTGTATTATGCACAGTATTGTATTATGCACAGTGTTGTATTATGCTCAGTGTTGTATTATGCTCAGTGTTGTATTATGCACAGTATTGTATTATGTACAGTGTTGTATTATGCTCAGTGTTGTATTATGCACAGTATTGTATTATGTACAGTGTTGTATTATGCTCAGTATTGTATTATGTACAGTGTTGTATTATGCACAGTGTTGTATTATGCACAGTGTTGTATTATGCTCAGTGTTGTATTATGTACAGTATTGTATTATGCACAGTATTGTATTATGCACAGTGTTGTATTATGCTCAGTGTTGTATTATGCTCAGTGTTGTATTATGCACAGTATTGTATTATGCACAGTGTTGTATTATGCACAGTGTTGTATTATGCACAGTATTGTATTATGCTCAGTGTTGTATTATGCACAGTGTTGTATTATGCACAGTATTGTATTATGTACAGTATTGTATTATGTACAGTGTTGTATTATGCACAGTGTTGTATTATGCACAGTGTTGTATTATGCTCAGTGTTGTATTATGCACAGTGTTGTATTATGCACAGTATTGTATTATGTACAGTATTGTATTATGTACAGTATTGTATTATGCACAGTATTGTATTATGCACAGTGTTGTATTATGCACAGTGTTGTATTATGCTCAGTGTTGTATTATGCACAGTATTGTATTATGCACAGTATTGTATTATGCACAGTATTGTATTATGCACAGTGTTGTATTATGCACAGTATTGTATTATGCACAGTATTGTATTATGCACAGTATTGTATTATGCACAGTATTGTATTATGCACAGTATTGTATTATGCACAGTATTGTATTATGCACAGTATTGTATTATGCACAGTATTGTATTATGCACAGTATTGTATTATGCACAGTATTGTATTATGCACAGTATTGTATTATGCACAGTATTGTATTATGCACAGTATTGTATTATGCACAGTATTGTATTATGCACAGTAAGCCTTGTATTTTGATTTATAATTCATCCAGTTTTTTTTTTTTTTTAATTTTTGTTTCAGTCTGCATTGATTTGTCTTTTTTGACTTATCTCAAGTGTTGATATTATTATATTGTTATAGTTGTATAAGTAAGATGAAGCAATACACTTTTAATGTTAACTTTTATTTGATATTCAATTTTTTTATAAAATTTTGGCAAGTATTTAAAAAAAAAATTATATTTTCCTTGTGTTTTATATAAAATTTTTGTAAGTGTGTAGTCATTATTATAAGTTTTGTATTAGTGTTAATGTTTAATGTATTAATTATCAAGTTCTAATTAGTGTGATCACTTCACGTAAGTTCAACAATGTGGTTTGTTTTAATAGTTATCTATAATTATTATTATTTGAATTAGCTTTTTATTATCCATGTGATAATTACAAAGTTTTATTTAGTGTGAGCAGTTCAAGTAAGTTTAAATGTTATGTTGTGTAACCTGTGGCGTTTGATATCTTGTTTGATATCTGTTGATATCTGTTGTCTTCTGATTGGTTGTTTAGTTTAGTATGAGTTCTTTGTTTGTTTGTTTTAATGTGTGACTCCTGTTTTTCCTTAAGATCTGATAAGGAATACGAGAAGTGTTTGAAACGTCATGCTATTTAAAGTCAAGATTCTGAGACAAGATATCTGTTATATCAATGGTTTTCCTGTTCATTTATATATATATATATATATATATATATATATATATATATATATATATATATATATATATATATATATATATATATGTGTATATATATATATATAATATACATATATATATACATATATATATATATATATATATATATATATATATATATATATATATATATATATATATATATATATATATATATATATATTAAACCAGTGTGTTCGTCATGTGTGGCGAGCGGTAAATATGTACCTACATGTGTAAGTCCTGAGCTGCCTGGTGGGTCTCTCCGTGTGTGTGGAGACTTGCTGACGAAGGTAGAGCCCACCAGGAGAGATCAGGGTCGGGGTTCGAAGCCTCAGGAAATGTGGAACCAGGAAGGAGAGGCAAGACTTTTGGGGACCTTCAGAGGGAACACTGTAGCCGTCAAGGGAACACTGTAGCTGTCAAGGGAACACTGTAGCTGTCAAGGGAACACTGTAGCTGCCAAGGGAGCACTGTAGCTATCAAGGGAGCACTGTAGCTATCAAGGGAGCACTGTAGCTGTCAAGGGAACACTGTAGCTGTCAAGAGAGCACTGTAGCTGTCAAGGGAACACTGTAGCTGCCAAGGGAGCACTGTAGCTATCAAGGGAGCACTGTAGCTATCAAGGGAACACTGTAGCTGTCAAGGGAACACTGTAGCTGCCAAGGGAGCACTGTAGCTATCAAGGGAGCACTGTAGCTATCAAGGGAGCACTGTAGCTGTCAAGGGAACACTGTAGCTGTCAAGAGAGCACTGTAGCTGTCAAGGGAACACTGTAGCCGTCAAGGGAGCACTGTAGCCGTCAAGGGAGCACTGTAGCCGTCAAGGGAACACTGTAGCTGTCAAGGGAGCACTGTAGCTGTCAAGGGAACACTGTAGCTGTCAAGGGAACACTGTAGCTGTCAAGGGAGCACTGTAGCCGTCAAGGGAGCACTGTAGCAGTCAAGGGAACACTGTAGCTGTCAAGGGAACACTGTAGCTATCAAGGGAACACTGTAGCCGCCAAGGGAACATTGTAGCTGTCAAGGGAGCACTGTAACACCAGGGTAACACTGTAACATCAGGATAACACTGTAACATCAGGATAACACTGTAACATCACGATAACACTGTAACATCAGGATAACACTGTAACATCACGATAACACTGTAACCATCACGGTAACACTGTAACCATCACGGTAACACTGTAACCATCACGGTAACACTGTAACCATCACGGTAACACTGTAACCATCACCGTAACACTGTAACCATCACCGTAACACTGTAACCATCACGGTAACACTGTCATCAGGGTAACAATGTAACATCAGGGTAACACTGTAACCATCACGGTAACACTGTAACCATCACCGTAACACTGTAACCACCACCGTAACACTGTAACCATCACGGTAACACTGTCATCATGGTAACACTGTAACATCAGGGTAACACTGTAACATCAAGATAACACTGTAACATCACAATAACACTGTAACCATCACGGTAACACTGTAACATCACGATAACACTGTAACATCAGGGTAACACTGTAACCATCACGGTAACACTGTAACCATGACCGTAACACTGTAACCATCACGGTAACACTGTAACCATCACAGTAACACTGTAACAATCACCGTAACGATGTAACCATCACGGTAACACTGTCATCACGGTAACACTGTAACATCAGGGTAACACTGTAACATCAGGGTGACACTGTAACATCAGGGTAACACTGTAACATCACGATAACACTGTAACATCAAGATAACGCGACTGTTTGACATCGTACTTAAGTAATAACTAGGCCTAAGCAACTGTAGTTCACTACTAAACAGGAGTTTCTGCAACAGACGGTTAATATGATACTTATACTTTTGGGTCAAAGTTATGCCGTGTTGATGACGGTGGATGTTATCATAATTGTTCACGACGGAACGACACGTCGTTGGTCAACCTGTGTTGTTTGGTTATCATCAGCCACGTTATCGTCACTCATCGTCTGGTCGTGTATGGCAGATATCATCATTAAGGAATCTTACCAAAAAAAAAGGTCACTTTTTTGACCCCAAAGGTAAACAAAATACTCACTTTTCCGTTTCCGTCTGTTCCGGAGGAGAGTGGCGCTGTCCTCAGCTTCCTCTTCGAAGTCAAGTTCCTCGTCTTGGCTCCTCCTAGCGGCGTCTAGTTCCTCGCTACGACCCTCCCATTCACTATAGTCACTATCGCCGCTGGTGTCGTTATCCGCGACGCTGCTATCATTAATTGCGTCGGAAATTTCCATCTGAACAGCCTGGAACGTCGACGCAGCGTCCGACCGCTCGAGATGAGCAGCTTCCGCGACGCGGGAAAAGAGGACGCGAAATGAGCTATCGTCAGAGACATTTGCTTCCATGGCGGCGCCTCCTGAGAAGTTGGGAACTTGTAGCGGAGTTTGGCTGGTGTTGTTGCTGAGGGAAGAAGCAGCGAGGCATCTCACAGCATCAGCTGTGTCAGTCTGCTGTGGCAGGTCTTCTGGGGGGGTGCTGGCTATCGCCAGTCTGTCACTAAAAGGGTCAATTTTGTTCGCTGAGTCGCGCGTTTGACTCGAGGTGAGATTGGCCCTTAAACGGTCTCTGTTGCACCCTAGTGCCACACTGGCACTCCGGGCCGGCCGGTTATGGCTGCCAGGTAGCTCTTGTGAGCCCCGAGCACCTGGCACTGTGGCGCCGGCTGTGTCGTGAGAGTTGAGAGCTCCGGGAGCAAGGCTCTCAGAGACGTCGATGTGTCCATTATTTGTGTTCCTGCGTCCGTATGTGTTCTCCAGTCCGGATGGCGGCTGATCAACACGGCTGAGTGATGAGTCTGCCACACGGCTGAGTGATGAGTCTGCCACACGGCTGAGTGATGAGTCTGCCACACGGCTGAGTGATGAGTCTGCCACACGGCTGAGTGATGAGTCTGCCACACGGCTGAGTGATGAGTCTGCAACACGGCTGAGTGAGTGATCTTCCAAGCGCTTGAGTGATCGATTTTCCACGCCGTTCCAGAGCTGATCTTCCACGTTGCTGAGATAGCGGCCACTTACACTCTGATATCTTAAACTTGCGACGTATTTGTGTAGTGGCTGCGGGGGTCGAGTGCCGTAGTTATCGCGACTAAACGACCCAGAGAACGACGCGCTGTAGGCCTCAGAGAGCGCAGCATCCGACGACTTCTGCGGGAGATGTGGCCGCGTCATCTGCTCCAGCAGACGGCTCCGCGCCCTCAGCAGAGAGCCCGCAGACGTGATAGATGAGTGGGATTCGTTGTGGAGGAGTTTTAGCGACGAGTCCGCCGGCGTATGGCTCATATTGATCAGAGTCCGGACTGGGCCGGATGGAGGCATCTTCGAAGCATCCTCCAGGAGTGCCTCTCCTGCCTCCGGCATGACCGGAGATGTACCCATTTGTCTCACAGTGCCAAAGATTCTCGTTGTAGATTCAGGAAGCCTCTGGGATTCGAACGAGGCTTGGGATGATGCGTGTCTGGTAGTGGAGAAGACGCAGACACACTGCGCCAGGAGCAGCAGCGCCAGTAGCAGCAGCCTGAGGACACAGCAGACTTTCTGCGACTCACAGAAGCATCGCGAATGAGAGGAACAAACAGCGTGACTCCTACAGGAGGCGATAGTTAGCGATCGTTCACGTGAGGGCAGAATCCCCCGGGCTACCTCCCACTGGGACCCCGGGGGAGAGAGGGTCACACACCTACCAATCATACATGTATGGACACACCCGAGCCATACACACAAACATGTGCCCGAGGCCACACATGTGAAGGTCACTCTGCCCAAACCTCACCCACAATTATCCACGCCAGGCAGAGACACAGCCATCAGGAGACACCGTAAGCCCGTTAACTACCGTTAACTACCGTTAGCTCGTTAAGACAATGGGCCCTGCGTGCCCCAAGACACTGTTCAAGGAGGAGCAGGTGTCTGCTCTCTGCTCTCGGTCACTATCTTACACCTTTGGTTCCTGGTTTCTACATTATTTTCAAACACAAACACTATCAATTAATACACTATAGTGACTGGCCGGCCTCCAGTAATGGTGAAAGTTCACGCTAAATGCATAATAAATTATCTATTTATACATATGTGTCAAGTGGGATCGTTTAGGAACAAATTGTCCAGTTGAACTACCAATTAGAGGCAGTAATTGTTCACAATCGTGTGTTGAACAGTGAATTTGTTTGTGTTGAACAGTGGTGTTGGTACGTGTTGAACAGTGATGATGCTACGTGTTGAACAGTGTTGTTGAACAGTGGTGTTGCTACGTGTTGAACAGTGTTGCTGCGTGTTGAACAGTGTTGTTGCTACGTGTTGAACAGTGGTGTTGCTACGTGTTGAACAGTGGTGTTGCTACGTGTTGAACAGTGTTGCTGCACCGTGTTGAACAGTGTTGTTGCAACGTGTTGAACAGTGGTGTTGAACAGTGTTGAACAGTGGTGTTGCTACGTGTTCAACAGTGGTGTTGAACAGTGTTGAACAGTGTTGTTGCTACGTGTTGAACAGTGGTGTTGCTACGTGTTGAACAGTGTTGTTGCTACGTGTTGAACAGTGTTGTTGCTACGTGTTGAACAGTGGTGTTGCTACGTGTTGAACAGTGGTGCTGAACAGTGTTGAACAGTGTTGTTGCTACGTGTTGAACAGTGGTGTTGCTACGTGTTGAACAGTGGTGTTGCTACGTGTTGAACAGTGTTGTTGCTACGTGTTGAACAGTGTTGTTGCTACGTGTTGAACAGTGTTGTTGCTACGTGTTGAACAGTGTTGTTGCTAGGTGTTGAACAGTAGTGTTGCTACGTGTTGAACAGTGGTGTTGCTACGTGTTGAACAGTGTTGTTGCTACGTGTTGAACAGTGTTGTTGCTACGTGTTGAACAGTGGTGTTGCTACGTGTTGAACAGTGTTGTTGCTAGGTGTTGAACAGTAGTGTTGAACAGTGTTGAACAGTGTTGTTGCTACGTGTTGAACAGTGGTGTTGCTACGTGTTGAACAGTAGTGTTTCTACGTGTTGAACAGTGTTGTTGAACAGTGTTGAACAGTGTTGTTGAACAGTGTTGAACAGTGGTGTTGCTACGTGTTGAACAGTGGTGTTGCTACGTGTTGAACAGTGTTGTTGCTACGTGTTGAACAGTGTTGTTGAACAGTGTTGAACACTGTTGTTGAACAGTGGTGTTGCTACGTGTTGAACAGTAGTGTTGCTACGTGTTGAACAGTGTTGTTGCTACGTGTTGAACAGTGGTGTTGCTACGTGTTGAACAGTGTTGTTGCTAGGTGTTGAACAGTAGTGTTGCTACGTGTTGAACAGTGTTGTTGAACAGTGTTGAACAGTGTTGTTGAACAGTGTTGAACACTGTTGTTGAACAGTGGTGTTGCTACGTGTTGAACAGTGTTGTTGCTAGGTGTTGAACAGTAGTGTTGAACAGTGTTGAACAGTGTTGTTGCTACGTGTTGAACAGTGGTGTTGCTACGTGTTGAACAGTAGTGTTTCTACGTGTTGAACAGTGTTGTTGAACAGTGTTGAATAGTGTTGTTGAACAGTGTTGAACAGTGTTGTTGCTACGTGTTGAACAATGGTGTTGCTACGTGTTGAACAGTGTTGTTGCTACGTGTTGAACAGTGTTGTTGAACAGTGTTGAACACTGTTGTTGAACAGTGGTGTTGCTACGTGTTGAACAGTAGTGTTGCTACGTGTTGAACAGTGTTGTTGCTACGTGTTGAACAGTGGTGTTGCTACGTGTTGAACAGTGTTGTTGCTAGGTGTTGAACAGTAGTGTTGCTACGTGTTGAACAGTGTTGTTGAACAGTGTTGAACACTGTTGTTGAACAGTGGTGTTGCTACGTGTTGAACAGTGGTGTTGCTACGTGTTGAACAGTGTTGTTGCTAGGTGTTGAACAGTAGTGTTGCTACGTGTTGAACAGTGTTGTTGAACAGTGTTGAACACTGTTGTTGAACAGTGGTGTTGCTACGTGTTGAACAGTGGTGTTGCTACGTGTTGAACAGTGTTGAACACTGTTGTTGAACAGTGGTGTTGCTACGTGTTGAACAGTGTTGTTGAACAGTGTTGAACACTGTTGTTGAACAGTGGTGTTGCTACGTGTTGAACACTGTTGTTGAACAGTGGTGTTGCTACGTGTTGAACACTGTTGTTGAACAGTGGTGTTGCTACGTGTTGAACAGTGGTGTTGCTACGTGTTCAACACTGTTGTTGAACAGTAGTGTTCCTACGTGTTGAACACTGTTGTTGAACAGTAGTGTTCCTACGTGTTGAACAGTGTTGTTGAACAGTGTTGTTGCTACGTGTTGAACAGTGTTGTTGAACAGTGGTGTTGCTACGTGTTGAACAGTGTTGTTGAACAGTGGTGTTGCTAGGTGTTGAACAGTAGTGTTCCTACGTGTTGAACAGTGTTGTTGAACAGTGGTGTTGCTACGTGTTGAATAGTGATGTTGAACAGTGTTGCTGCACCGTGTTGAACAGTGGTGTTCACCAGGCTGAGTGAACACACACCATCCCAGCCTCCCATCATCTCATCAGCGCCACACGATGCTCCTCATCCCTCACACACTAGCACCCTCACCACTCACAGTATTTACAACCACCTCCACCTTGCCAATGTTCCAACTCTTCAACTCACAAAGTCCTCTAATACTCTTTTAAAAAATTTCCAAAACAGTTTCACATGCCTACGAGACGGAAGATGAATCTGTCTGACAGCATCACCGGAGATAACAACGAGTTTAGTATAGAATAGACACAATAAACACAGTTTTAAACTGCCAATTTCACTTGAGATATGATAATTGTTTGAGAAATTATGCACGTTCGTAGCTTCGAGGTTGACAGTGTATCTTAGAGGGTCACGAGGTGTCTAAGGGGATATTGACGAGGCACTGCTGCTCCTTGGGTTACTGGAGTCGCTCTCGTAGGTCAAGCGAGGGGGGTGGGGGGGTGGGGGGGTTCGAGGACGACTTGGAGTGGAGGGTGATAGAGGAGAGGGGAGAGCATCAGAGGCTCCGAGGGCGAGCAGCTACCTCACACTCCCACTACCAGAGGTATACTGGACGCAAATCAATGGTGGAGCTGTGGAGGGCTGGCTGGGGTTGCTAGCCTCCCCACGCACGCACACGCACACGCACACACACACACACTCACGCACACACGTTAGAAAGAACGTTTTCAGTGTCAGAGTAGTTAACAGGTGGAATGCATTAGGCAGTGATGTGGTGGAGGCTGACTCCATACACAGTTTATAATGTAGATATGATAGAGCCCAATAGGCTCAGGAACCTGTACACCAGTTGATTGACGGTTGAGAGGCGGGACCAAAGAGCCAGAGCTCAACCCCCTCAAACACAACTAGGTAAGTACACACACATACACACACAAAACTAGAAAAAGACCCAAAAATATGGAACAAGGATCGTTCCGGAGTTAAGAGGACTGACCTATGAAGAGGGACTGAGCTAACTAGACCTGACTACGCTGAAGGAAAGAAGGAACACGGCAGACATGACGACGACATTCAAGATACTATGGGAGGGTTGACAAAGTAGATATACATTGTTCAGATAGAGGAACAGCAGCAGGAGAGGACATAGTTGACAGCTGGGAACATAGATGAGCCACAGGGCTGTCAGGAGGAACTGTCAGCTTCAGACACTGGGACAGTAGAGTCAACCCCAGACACTAGACAGTAGACAGTCAGCCCCAGACACTAGACAGTAGACAGTCAACCCCAGACACTAGACAGTAGACAGTCAGCTCCAGACACTGGGACAGTAGACAGTCAGCCCCAGACACTAGACAGTAGACAGTCAGCCCCAGACACTAGACAGTAGACAGTCAGCCCCAGACACTAGACAGTAGACAGTCAGCCCCAGACACTAGACAGTAGACAGTCAGCCCCAGACACTGGACAGTAGACAGTCAGCCCCAGACACTGGGACAGTAGACAGTCAGCCCCAGACACTAGACAGTAGACAGTCAGCCCCAGACACTGGACAGTAGACAGTCAGCCCCAGACACTAGACAGTAGACAGTCAGCCCCAGACACTAGACAGTAGACAGTCAGCCCCAGACACTGGGACAGTAGACTGTCAGCCCCCGACACTGGGACAGTAGACAGTCAGCCCCAGACACTAGACAGTAGACAGTCAGCTCCAGACACTAGACAGTAGACAGTCAGCCCCAGACACTAGACAGTAGACAGTCAGCCCCAGACACTGGGACAGTAGACAGTCAGCCCCAGACACTGGACAGTAGACAGTCAACCCCAGACACTAGACAGTAGACAGTCAACCCCAGACACTGGGACAGTAGACAGTCAGCCCCAGACACTGGGACAGTAGACAGTCAGCCCCAGACACTGGACAGTAGACAGTCAGCTCCAGACACTAGACAGTAGACAGTCAGCCCCAGACACTAGACAGTAGACAGTCAACCCCAGACACTGGGACAGTAGACTGTCAGCCCCAGACACTGGGACAGTAGACAGTCAGCCCCAGACACTAGACAGTAGACAGTCAGCTCCAGACACTAGACAGTAGACAGTCAGCCCCAGACACTAGACAGTAGACAGTCAGCCCCAGACACTGGACAGTAGACAGTCAGCCCCAGACACTAGACAGTAGACAGTCAGCCCCAGACACTAGACAGTAGACAGTCAGCCCCAGACACTAGACAGTAGACAGTCAACCCCAGACACTAAACAGTAGACAGTCAGCCCCAGACACTTCCGAATGATAGCCACATTACAGCCATATTAAGCTATAAATATATGTCTAATATAGCCTCAATAGCCATATTAAGTGAATCTACAATAATTCAAGAAATACACGTGAAATCCTCCCAGTACTAGTGTGTGTGTGTCCAGAAATTGGAGAAAATCAGGCCCAAGCGTTCGAGGACTCCCCTAGAACAAACACGTAAGGGGGGTTTTACAACGTAATTGCAAATCCCATTAGTGCGAGATAATAGGGGCCAGGAAAAGGGGTGAGTAAGAGGTGAGAGAGAGAGAGAGAGAGAGAGAGAGAGAGAGAGAGAGAGAGAGAGAGAGAGGAGGGCTAGGGACCTGAGGTGATTGTCTACAGAGGGAGCAGCTGTCTGGCCTCTTGTGGGATATTTAATTATAAAAGGTACATTCTCACTCTACAGTAACATCCCAAATGAAGTCAAGTACATTATACTCGGATAACAATCTTAGAGTTAAACAGTGCCTGTAAGCCTAAAATAATCCCCTAGGAGGCCTATAGAAGCTGCCAGCTTGCGTGCAATGTTACAGGCTGCGGGGGGGCATCCAGCAGATCTTCTGAAGACATAATCACCGGCTGCTGGAAGCACCTTGTTCAGGGAAAGTATCTCTATTCGGTGGTTAATGATCGTTAGTGTTTGGTTCAGCCAATAAACTGAGAATCATTGAGAGTACAGATGACTTGAGTGCTGTTTGGGAGTGTTTTGCGTGAGGTTTAAGTGGTTTGAGTGTGTGTCTTCAGAGCAGACATACCCAAGAGGGCTGCAGAGCAGACAGTGGAAACACCTAGGCATTGGGGTACAATCAACAAGCCACACAACACTACAATCATCAAGCCATACAACACCACAATCAACAAGCCACACAACACCACAATCATCAAGCCACACAACACCACAATCAACAAGCCACACAACACCACAATCATCAAGCCATACAACACCACAATCAACAAGCCACACAACACCACAATCATCAAGCCACACAACACCACAATCAACAAGCCACACAACACCACAATCATCAAGCCATACAACACCACAATCAACAAGCCACACAACACCACAATCAACCAGCCACACAACACCACAATCAACCAGCCATACAACACCACAATCAACCAGCCACACAACACCACAATCATCATGCCATACAACAACACAATCAACAAGCCATACAACACCACAATCAACAAGCCATACAACACTACAATCAACAAGCCACACAACACCACAATACAAGCCATACAACACCACAATCCACCAGCCATACAACACCACAATCAACCAGCCATACAACACTACAATCAACAAGCCATACAACACCACAATCAACAAGCCACACAACACCACAATCAACCAGCCATACAACACCACAATCAACAAGCCACACAACACCACAATCAACAAGCCATACAACACTACAATCAACAAACCACACAACACCACAATCAACCAGCCATACAACACTACAATCAACAAGCCACACAACACCACAATACAAGCCATACAACACCACAATCCACCAGCCATACAACACCACAATCAACCAGCCATACAACACTACAATCAACAAGCCACACAACACCACAATCAACCAGCCATACAACACCACAATCAACCAGCCATACAACACCACAATCAACAAGCCACACAACACCACAATCAACAAGCCATACAACACTATAATCAACAAACCACACAACACCACAATCAACCAGCCATACAACACCACAATCAACCAGCCACACAACACCACAATCATCATGCCATACAACAACACAATCAACAAGCCATACAACACCACAATCAACAAGCCATACAACACTACAATCAACAAGCCACACAACACCACAATACAAGCCATACAACACCACAATCCACCAGCCATACAACACCACAATCAACCAGCCATACAACACTACAATCAACAAGCCATACAATACCACAATCAACAAGCCACACAACACCACAATCAACCAGCCATACAACACCACAATCAACAAGCCACACAACACCACAATCAACAAGCCATACAACACTACAATCAACAAACCACACAACACCACAATCAACCAGCCATACAACACTACAATCAACAAGCCACACAACACCACAATACAAGCCATACAACACCACAATCCACCAGCCATACAACACCACAATCAACCAGCCATACAACACTACAATCAACAAGCCACACAACACCACAATCAACCAGCCATACAACACCACAATCAACCAGCCATACAACACCACAATCAACCAGCCATACAACACCACAATCAACCAGCCATACAACACCACAATCAACCAACCACACAACACCACAATCAACCAGACATACAACACCACAATCAACAAGCCATACAACACCACAATCAACCAGCCATACAACACTACAATCAACAAGCCATACAACACCACAATCAACAAGCCATACAACACCACAATCAACAAGCCACACAACACCACAATCAACCAGCCATACAACACTACAATCAACAAGCCATACAACACCACAATCAACAAGCCATACAACACCACAATCAACAAGCCATACAACACCACAATCAACCAGCCATACAACACCACAATCAACAAGCCATACAACACCACAATCAACCAGCCATACAACACTACAATCAACAAGCCATACAACACCACAATCAACAAGCCATACAACACCACAATCAACAAGCCACACAACACCACAATCAACCAGCCATACAACACCACAATCAACCAACCACACAACACCACAATCAACCAGCCATACAACTCCACAATCAACCAGCCATACAACACCACAATCAACAAGCCATACAACACCACAATCAACAAGCCACACAACACCACAATCAACCAGCCATACAACACCACAATCAACAAGCCATACAACACCACAATCAACAAGCCATACAACACCACAATCAACCAGCCATACAACACCACAATCAACCAGCCATACAACACCACAATCAACAAGCCATACAACACCACAATCAACCAGCCATACAACACTACAATCAACAAGCCATACAACACCACAATCAACAAGCCATACAACACCACAATCAACAAGCCACACAACACCACAATCAACCAGCCATACAACACCACAATCAACCAACCACACAACACCACAATCAACCAGCCATACAACTCCACAATCAACCAGCCATACAACACCACAATCAACAAGCCATACAACACCACAATCAACCAGCCATACAACACTACAATCAACAAGCCATACAACACCACAATCAACAAGCCATACAACACCACAATCAACAAGCCA